AAACCACAAATCGCCCTGCATGAAAGATGGTAGCTGCAGTAAGAGTTATCCTCGACCACTTCTCAATGAGACACAGACAGGAGACAATGGATATTCGCAATACAGGAGGTAAATGACTCAAGTAAAAATGAGAAGTAATTTTAATCATTATGGATGAAACATCACTTATTTCGTTTAATTGTAAAAACTTTAAGAGATCCCGAGAGTGCGTAACTAATCTGAGTCGTAAGGCAGATATTATTGCACTGCAAGAAACCTGGCTGTTACCGCATGAAATATCACAACTCCGTTATGTTAGCAAGGAATTTAGCTACTATGGTAAGTCAGCGGTAGATACTTCTCAAGGTATTTTACGTGGGCGTCCGTATGGCGGAGTGGCGCTGTTATGGAATAAGTTGAAATTTCACTGTGTTTCGGTTATTGAATGTGATAATGATCGTATTGCGGCCATAAAAATTAGTACTACGGACCGAGAGATTTTAGTTTTTAGTGTGTATGCCTACAGATTGTGCGGAAAACTTAGTAGAATACGTTCAGTGTCTGAGTGAGATTGCGGCAATTGTTGAAAATTGTGATATTGAATCAGTTTATATTCTAGGGGATTTTAATGCCCACCCAGGGCATGTGTTTGGTACTGAAATGTTAAATTTTTGTAATGAGTTAAATTGGAATTGTATTGATCTTAATATTTTGGGTTTAGATTCAGGCACATATACCTTTGTCAGTGAAGCGCATGGTAGTAGGAGGTGGTTGGATCATATATATAATCAGTGAGGCGGCGCGGAGGTCTGTGGTCTCTGTGAAGGTACACTACGATGTTTACTGGTCCGATCATTTCCCTAGAGATTGCTAATCTGATGCCTAAGCAAACTTTGATTTGTGCCTCAACTGACAAAGCTATAAAGGGTAATAGAAATAAGAGTGAGTTAGAATTGTACGCAAAACTCTGTAATGAAAAATTAAAAGAAATTGAATTTCCTGATAAATTAAGTAGTTGTTGTGATACTCTTTGTAATAATCTAAATCAGTTTTGAGGTTGCATCACTTTTTACATTATTTAATTTAGCTATATAATAACAGCGTATGGTCAAATATTTTTCAGCGACCAGTCTTGTTAGGTTCACTTGGTGAAGAGAACCACACGCGTGTTCAGTTTGAACTAAACTACAAGTCTTTTTCACAGAAATATTCAGAGCATATCACTGTGGTTTTAGATGATTTCCAATACTCGTCTCCACGGCTTTTTCTTATTATGTCCACCTATTGACTTCTAATTATAGGATCAATATGTATCTTAAAACCATGTATCCACATAGTCACATTCGATTTGACAATTATCATACAATATTATTTAGTAATACAAATAAAAAAGAGAAAAAATATTTAAGACTAAATAAAAAACACCCGACTGCGCGGAAGCTTGCAAAACAAAAACAATGGGTTCATCAGTTTAGGCTGTGTAGGATCATCCAAATAATTTTTGAAACATACCCACATACACATACATACACACACCATGATGTATTTCCGCCTTCTAATGCAGTCGGGTAAAAATGAACATACATCAGCTTTTAAGACAACTATACGGGGAAATTCTCAATCCAAAACTTGCAGCACCAAAAAATGGCGCGTTGATTTTGTAAATTAAATTATCAATTTATTAGTTAGTTTTGAGTTACTTACCGATGGCAGGAGATTTTGTTAGTAGTTTGTAAAATGTCCTTTATAATTTCTGCAGATTTTGATCGCGCTACTTGTCATTTTCACCAAAATAATTTACCTCTAAAAATGATTCGTGCGTGGGTAACTCTTGGCGTTACAATTGACAGTGAGGAGCGGGGAGCGCTTTAGAGGCTAATGTATTTTGTCGTCTGAACGATAAATTATGTCACATTTGTAGCAAGACAGTTCTAAGCTCCACCGTTCAATTTTTAATTTTTTTTTTTGCTTGAATGTTTTTGATTGAACACAAAAGCAACAATCTGCTGATCGGTTATAAAAGAAAAACTTCTTCCAATAAGATAGTGGCGCTATTTACAAAGTTGTTCCACCGCCGCTTGTTTCTTTTTCTGTATATGCCGCGTTCAGAGTTGGACAAAGTTCTTGAAAGGAAAGCTACAGGGCGAACATTTTGGGAAAGGTTTGCAGCTATTGAGTGCTCGGATGCATCGGTTTCTACCGTAAAAATTTTTTTTTATAGCCACTTCGAATAGTGAGCTAAAATATCCCGATGACGTCTTAATGAGGCTGTATTTGTAGGAGTAAGGAGATCCAATAGTGGTTTTAATCGTTTTTTGTCTGGCTTGATAACGTTGTTCTGAAGGAATAGCCTAAAAGACTTATACTTTTTGATCCAAAAGTGCATTTTTTCTCATTCAACGTAAGTTTGTATTTCTTCACAGCGTTCATAAATTGCTGCAAGTTTTTATTGTTACATCTTTATTTTTGCCACATGCGATCACGTTATCTAAATAACAGAAGGTGTCTCTTAGGTTCTCAGCTTCAATTATGAACTGTATCGTTCTCTGAAGCGCAGTCACGCCATTAGTGATTCCAAATGGTACGAGAGCGACACTGAAAGTTTTTAGAACTGGCCACTTGTAAAGTGTATTTTTGTTAAAATAACGAATTTGAAAAACATGGAGGCGCTCTATTATTGAATTTGACGTTTCGCGATGTATCTTCGACGCTGACCGACCTTTCATATGCTATTACTATAAACCCCCCCTCCCCCCACCCCAGCCTGCAAAATAATGATATTTGTAATAAAAAAAATATTAGTCGACGTATTTTTAATAGCACATTACGATTATACTTGTATTTGTAATTGCACACTCTCCAATTTTTTATAAAAAATCAAAAAGTAAATTATGGTTTTTACTAGTACTGCAATATCGATATCTCCGTAAAGAAAGTTTTTTTCTAATTGCACAGAGTGCCAATAAATTGTACATATCTCGATTGTAATTGCACAATAACGTATTGTTATTACACATACTTATTTAGTTACAAAAATTAATAATTAAGTAAAACACACATTAATTCAAACTTTGTAAACAAAATTATTGTAAAGTTAAAATGAGAACTGTACGATAATTGAGTTATTAGTTTTAGTTTTTTTTACTTATAGTTTTATTTTAATATTGTATATATTAATAAATTAATTATTAAATTTAAAAACTAAGTTATTGTAAAATTAAAATGAAAACTGTATGATAATAAAGTCATTAGCTTTAGATTATTTTTATTATATTTTTTAATAAGGTGGTTATGGTTATTAAGTTAATTAAATTATTAACAAAATTATTGTAAAGTAAAAATTAATAACTAATAAAAAATATTAAATTTCAGTTTTGTTTCATTTTTATTTACCTCGTTTTATTTTCAATATAATAAAATTAATTTTGTGAGTCAAGTGTCAAGTGGCTATTATTTGGCCCGTCCTTTGCCTGATATAGCTGCTTCAAATTAAAAAAAAGATATGTCACATTTCATTTTGCTACAACCAATCAGGATGCAGCAGCTAAGTCGAGTAAGTTTAGTTCGTGAGATGTCCATCTGATTCGGGTAGAATCTACTAGTTAGTCTGTGCTAGTTACCTCATCCAAGATGCCACCAATGTGACTGCGGTTTGAATTGATTCTTAGTTATTGGAAATTAAATATTTTATTTCATGACATTTCATTTCATTCATGACGTTATTCATGATTTAAAAAGTTTATATGAATTTTTTGATGTGATGGGTGTCATAATAAATTAATTTATATAATAAAAAGCATGCATATTACATATTATTATATCGTAAAGCATTACAAAAAACCTTACCTTCAACAACATTATCGATACTTTGATGCTGAAGCGGTAACATTCCTAAAACGGGTTTTTTCCATACATTGATGCTGGGTAAAGTTTTTAACAGTGATAGAGCCACGCGGCAGTTTTTGCTGTCACACGGATGGTCCGGCTCGAACCGGGGTGGTACCACGACCTCACAGAATACCAGCGTGAAGTAGAGGTTTACCTCTGCGTTTCGCTTGGTGAGTGCAGGTGGCCAGAGGCCCTTTTTACTGGAAATGAGGCATTCCATCTTAGTCCTCACGGGTGACAACGCATCTGCATTTTGATTTATAATAGAGGATAGATGTAGATGTCTATGGGCCGCAGCAACCACTTACCATCAGGTGGACTGTGTGCTCGTTTGTCACCCTTATCCTATAAAAAAAAACAAAAAAAAAACATTTACTAGCGTTACCTACTGAGAAATAGCCGAAATGTTTTCCTAATAAATATTCAGCGTAGTTTTGCTATGTTTAGCTAGAGGACATCACACACGCGCGAGTTCAAAGTTTTTGTATGCAAATGTTCCCTATATCCGCTCTATAGTATACCTATATATTTAAATCTCTTTGATTATAACAAAGAGGTAAAGTATACTAGAAATATTTTATTCATTATTAAGCATTCAAATTATGATTTCGGTTTTTAATCAGAATCAGTTTTCCTTTTGTATCGTTCGGCGTATTCTTTCAAGTATTTTTTATCAAAGATATTATAAAGAAACTGGAGGTTGGCAGTAATTGTTAGGTTGCCATAATTTAAAAAAAAGTCTATGGGTCGTACAACTAATATACGCCATCGCCATTTGATCGCCATCTTGTTTTTGTCTTTTACAAATCGCAATCCACAAACGTCACCTTTCCTTTGGTGAGCAAGGTGTGTTCACGTGAGGTTGTGTGGTCCCTCAGAAATAGGTCACACAATCCTCATAATTTCGTGAAATATTCTTCTAAAATAAAAAAAAAGCACAAAATTTATAAAAACCCAAAAAAATAGTAAAATATTAAATATTAAACGGGAATTCCTCGCTTATAAGTTAGTGAACGTAAGCGTGCAACGTGGTCTAAGGAATGCGATAGATAATCATAAAGAGAAAGTGAAATTGCTTATATTGAATAGTTATTAGATGTTCTACATTAAACGATCAAAGTGAAAATTTCAATATGAATCCCGGTCCACCTAACTACCCTATGGCATCATTGTATGTCGGAGATTTACACTCTGATATTACTGAAGCCATGTTGTTTGAGAAATTTTCAACCGCTGGTCCGGTTCTGTCTATTCGAGTTTGTCGCGATATGATAACTCGTAGATCTTTAGGCTACGCTTACGTAAATTTTCAGCAGCCTGGCGATGGTAAGTTAATTTTCCTTTCTTTATGTAGCATTGTGTAATAATATGCCTAACTAATTTGTGTAACTTATCTACGTGTCATTTTGTAAGTTACATATATATTTTTAGGAATCTGATAAGGAATTAATTTTCATACCTTCTACTTAAGATTTTTCTTAACTATATGGATATGCACCTAAACTATTTTGTTAGTGTGTACAAGACACACAAGCCAAGCCTTCCGTAAATTTTGTTTTTGTATTGAATGTATATTAATACTAAATATTCCATTATTAGGAAGTTACTAAGACTTGTTCTTGTTACAAAATGTGTGCAAAATGTAACATGATAGATAGTCATACTCTTATAAAAGCTTAATATGTTTATTACACAAACTGCTTATATTTAAATTATGTATTTCTTGATATTTTGTTTATTAATCGTTAATTTAAACTAATCCTATGATTATCATAACTATGTTTATTTTGTTTTAGCTGAAAGAGCTTTGGAAGGTATGAATTTTGATATGATAAAAGGGAGACCAATTAGAATTATGTGGTCTCAACGTGATCCATCTCTTCGCAAGTCTGGTGTTGGCAATGTGTTCATAAAAAATTTAGACAAGACTATAGACAACAAAGCCATGTATGATACGTTTTCTGCTTTTGGTAATATCTTGAGTTGTAAAGTTGCTCAAGATGAAACAGGTGCCTCGAAAGGTTATGGATTTGTACATTTTGAAACAGAAGAAGCTGCTAATAAATCAATTGAAAAAGTCAATGGAATGCTTTTAAATGGTAAAAAGGTATATGTAGGCAGATTTATTCCACGCAAGGAGCGTGAAAAGGAACTTGGTGAAAAAGCAAAACTGTTTACAAATGTTTATGTAAAGAATTTTGGAGAAGATTTTACAGATGAAATGCTGAGAGAAATGTTTGAAAAATATGGTCGTATAACAAGTCATAAAGTCATGTACAAAGAAGATGGGAGTTCAAGAGGATTTGGTTTTGTCGCATTTGAAGATCCTGACGCTGCTGAGAGAGCTTGTATGGAGCTAAATGGCAAAGAACTTGTGGAAGGCAAACCATTATATGTAGGACGAGCCCAAAAGAAGGCTGAACGGCAAAAAGAATTGAAGCGTAAATTTGAGCAGTTAAAATCAGAACGCTTGACTCGTTATCAAGGTGTTAATTTATATGTAAAGAATTTAGATGACACAATTGATGATGAACGTCTTCGTAAAGAATTTGCTCCATATGGTACTATTACATCGGCAAAGGTACTTATTCTATTACAATTTGATTCAACAATTAATTATAATTTTAGGTATCATCACCATTACAGTCTGTCATATATCTGCTGAATATTAGCCTCCCCAAGGAATGCCTCAAAGCAAAGCACTGCCCTGAGCTGCATCCATTGATATTCCATTCACATCCTACAACTATTACATATTTTTAATTAATTGAAAACTAAAGTATTGTAAAATTCGTATATAATATTTTTAAGATATGATTGTGAATATTGATTTAGTAGCATTTGGGCTAAGTATTTGGTTGATAATTCAGAGTTCAGTCCACATTGGGCTAGTGATTGTATACAGATTGTTTCAATCTGTATTGGCTTAGTTATAATTTGTCTTTAAACTGTTTCTGTTGTAGGAGAAATGTTTTTATGGATATAAACATTTTTTATATCTTAGGCTAAGGTACTTATGCCAGACACTAAGAAATACACAAAACTTAAGCTTCATTGCCAAATATATTTATTTATTTAAAATAATCAGTTTCTTTATGAGTACAGTAATATTCAGATAACATTTTATAATATTAAAAGAGAATAGTAGATGACATCAGGAAAAAATGCATATTTTTATCGTAGCAAGGTGTTCTGCAAAGTAGAACTAACATAAGTTTAAGTGTAATGGGTGGGCATGATTATAAATAAATAAAAAAGGTTTTTAATATGAAATTGAAGTACAGCACTATATATTTTATTTGCAAAATTAAAACTTATAACGAAAGATCATCATTTTTGGACGATTAGGAACTATAAGTATTTGAGATTCATGTAATATGACACTAATAGATTTTAAACAATGCTAACATACTTTCTTTTTAGCAGAAAATTAGATAGAATTAGATAAATTAGTCAAATAGATAATCCAAGTTATCTTCAGATTCCAGTCATTCTGTATTGGTACTCATGTCACACACATTGATCAGTCATTACTTTTCTATTTCAAAGTTGTTTTTTTTTTAGCTTTTCTAACTAAATTATTAAGCTATTTAATTTTATTAGGTCTCAAGTTCTATGTCCAGTTTGTTCTTACTGCTATGTCTTTTTCGCAACTTCCGGTTTTTTTTTTCTTTCTCTCTTTTCCTTCTTGTTTTTGTGATATTTTCTAACAAATTTGGAATTGCGTCAAAATTTTTTTAGCAGCAATAGCAGTCGCAACAACTCTTCTGCATCCTTGTATAGCTGCTGCTATATTGGCATTAGAATAACATAATATTTGTCTCAGTATCTACATCTATAATATTACTTATATTGGTGGCATCTTGTTTAAACATAAAAGTGTTGAAATCACACCCTAATAGTTTACACTGCATACCTAAAGCCCGCTTTTCACTATGGGATATAATCATCGATCACTAATAAAAAACTAGATGCACAGTCCCATACAAAAGTTCTCTAAAAACTGTCGCCAAATGTTTTGACGTAATTCTAGTTGATATAAATATACATTAACGTAAATTCAATCTTAAGTGATATGCTTAAAGTTGTATTCACAAAGCAACGTACAAAAAGCAATAAAATTTTACGACCGAGGCTCTTCGCTTGGACTAGGAGAGAGGAGTCGAACTGCACAATATTTTTTTATATTTTTACATATTATAATTATAATTTTACAATTTTTCTAAACTTGTTTTAAATAATTGGTCTACTTAATAAAGCATATTCTATTCTATTCTATGGTGTATATGTGTAATGGTTATATTATTACCTGAATGTAAACATGCTTTTGTATAGGGCACCACATTCATTTAGTAATGAAAATAATTGAAACAGTCATAATTACTTATTTATTCTTTATCTTGTGTGAAAAATTTAAAGATATTGTTTGACAAACAAGTTAAATCTAAATATAATAGTTACTAAGTATAAAAAATAAGTACAGAAAATTGTTGCAAAATCTAAGAACATTATTGTCCAAATTTTGACGTAATGTTCATATTTACAGATGTTTAAAAAACGGATAAGACGAATAATTATATTGATTTCTTATATTTACGCGTTCACTTCACATTTAAATGAAACTAGTTTTACGGATTTTAACGCGTATATTAACTTATTTTATATTCAGTAAAGAACTCTCATTAAACAAAAAAAAAATACAATCATACTTCATTAACAAAAAATAAAATAAAAAAAAAACAATAGCGTTTCCACAAATGGAACAGAATCAACGCATATACCTCGAACAATGACGACTTATTTTATTACGACTTAATTTAAAAAATACTTTTTCGATGATTTCTTGACAAAATATCAGTATTTACAATACAGTTATAACAATTAAATAATGTTAATATTAATATTTACCGAAAATATGAAATTCCACCCTTTTTTAGCGTAGGATGTGTGCTTTTTACACTTTTTAAACGAGCGCTGAGGCATGTTTACCGTCGGAACATTCGAATGCTACTAGATTAAATGTGCACCCATATGTTCGAGTGGGTGCACATTCGGTTACGCCATTTTTTGTCACTGATTGTGTATCTAGTTTTTTATTAGTGATCGATGGATATAATATAATATATATTACATCTCGAGATATAAATTATTTTTATATCTCGAATTAATAGTACCGTTTACACTGAGCTATAATATATTACATCTCAAGCTATAAATATTTTTTTGATCGACCGAGCGATATTTTCATATTATATTTCGCCCCCTGTACCCCGCAAACCGTTCCATGCCCCCACAGAACGGGGTAAAGGGGGGTAATCCAATGACAAACACACACTATTTAAAAGATATATCTGACAGTGTGAAATCCAATCGTGGGATATAATTTATATTTCGGGATATAACATATATTATATCCCATAGGGAAAAGCCAGCCTAATAGTTGATCAAATTTCATTAGGGCTTTATGTATAGGAAATAATTCTAAAATATTATTAGTCTATAATTGTAAAAACAAGAGCTATAAGTTCAGTTGGGTTTAACCTCTTCTTCTTCTTCTTTTAAATTATGGCTTCTCTTGATAGGGTTTAACCTCAATAGAAAATACAAATGTCAGGTTTTGACAAATTTTGACTCCATGAAATAACAAGTATGGCTCCAGAAAAAAATAATATCATATATTTTTACAACTTGATCAATATATAGAAGAAATCATAAACATTTTAACAAAATTATGCCTATGAAATTTCAATCTCCTTAGCAAATTGTTTAAGGAATCACCTTATGAAAGGAATCACCACACATGAATGTGTTTATAGCAAGTAATTTGTATTGTAATATTGTTTTTTTTTTATATAGGATTGGGTGACAAACGAGCACACAGTCCACCTGTTGGTAAGTGGTTACTGTGACCCATAGACATCTACATCTATCCTCAATAAAGACTCAAGATGCAGACGTGTTGTCACCCGTGAGGACTAAGATGGAATGCCTCTGCCAGTAAAAAGGGTCTCCGGTTCTCTACACTCACCATACGAAACACAGCAGTGTTAAGCTGCTATTTTACGCTGGTTTTCTGTGAGAGTGTGGTCCTTCCCCGGTCGAGCCGACCCATTCGTACTAGAACCATAATATAGCTGCAGCATGGCTCTACCACGTTTTTACTTCCACTGAAACCATTTGAATTCTGTTTTTGAAGATGGTTAAAGATTTTGTCTTTGTATCATAAATAGCAACTTAAGTAGTAAAGTTATATCTATAATTGTATTTTAACAGAAGAGTTTTTTTCGAGTGTACTCCTCTAGTTCATGTCGAGCATTAGTGTTTTTACCTTTTCTATAATTCTTTTATAGAGTATTTTATTGTAGGATTACTTTGTATGAAGAGTTCTTATTCATTGAGGTTACTTTTTTAATTTGGAAAAAATTCTTATATCATTTTTTTATGTTTAGGTTATGTTAGAAGATGGTCGCAGTAAAGGCTTTGGGTTTGTATGTTTTTCATCTCCTGAAGAAGCCACGAAGGCAGTCACAGAAATGAATGGACGCATTGTTGGAACAAAGCCTTTATATGTAGCTTTGGCTCAACGGAAAGAAGATCGCAAAGCACATTTGACATCTCAATACATGCAGCGTATGGCAAGCATGCGTATGCAACAAATGGGACAAATATTCCAACCAGGTAGTGCAGGAGGATATTTCGTGCCCACTATTCCTCCTGCCCAACGCTTCTATGGTCCGGCACAAATGACTCAAATAAGACCATCTCCTCGTTGGACGGCACAACCTGCAGTTCGACCTAGTACTCAAACTGCGGCTTCAGCATATCCCAACATGCAGCCACCATTCCGACCAGCACCACGTGGACCGACACAAGCAGCATTGCGGTCATCAATGGGAGCTAGACCCATTACAGGCCAACAAGGAGTAGCTACAGCTACATCTATTCGTGCTCCTATTGTTCCTCAGGCTGGACGCCCTGCAGGCTACAAGTATACTGCTAACATGCGCAACCCGCCAGCTCCACAACCTGCTGTGCACATACAAGGTCAAGAACCTTTAACTACAACTATGTTAGCTGCAGCCCCACTTCAGGAACAAAAGCAAATGCTGGGCGAAAGACTCTTCCCACTCATTCAAAGAATGCATCCTGACTTAGCTGGCAAAATAACAGGAATGCTCTTAGAGATTGATAATTCTGAGTTGCTTCATATGTTAGAGCATGGAGAGTCACTTAAAGCAAAAGTTGATGAGGCTGTTGCTGTTTTGCAAGCTCACCAAGCTAAACAGCAAGCCACCAAAAAAGATTAGGTGGGTTTGAAAAATAACTTATAAGTTACAGGTTTATTTCTGCCGTTTTATTGTTAATTTTAATGCTTTGAACATCATATTTTTAATTTAGTAACAGTCCCGGTCATAAAAAAATTATAAATAAAAATTGAAAAATAAAAGAAAACGTGGAATACACATTTCCAAAACATAACTTATTAGTGTTGGAAGTGTATTGCCGCAAACAAAAACATCGCAACTATAACATTTCTATACTTGAAAATGTAATGTTACGGGGTACTTTTGACTTTCTACATTGACCAAGAAGTTGGATTTAAGTTTAATTTCTTAAACTTTTTTTTTAATTCTCAGTAAATGGAGTTGGCTTTTGTTCTTGTATTATCTTTTCTTTTTTCTTCATCAGAATTACATTGGATATTTGTCTACCTTGTATTGAAAACTTGGTCGCCAATGTAACTGATTGATTTATATATTGTTAAAATATATTGAATATTCAGAATAATCGCTCGTTTCATTTTTTTCCTTTAATAGAAATCCAAACTTGTTTTATTATAACTAAAGATATACAACGAAAAATGAATAGTTATAAACCTTGAAGTCTGTTTCGAAAGTGCAACTGCAATCTAAAGTAGGTTAGATTTATTCATGTTGAACCGAATTGTGTTGTAACTGTATTTAATCGAAGTATGACCAGATGCTGCTGATATACGTTAGTATATTAAATATCCATTATCAAATGTTTATTTTGCATTGGCGTAGCAAGGAGTGGAGGGGGAAGGCCTCGGGCTACAATTCTGAAAAGAAGTCGCCCACTCGCCTTGAACAATGCGAAGGAATAAAGTTTCCTTATATATTACAATACTCTGGAATAAAGCTGAACATTATCTTAGCGCCATCTATTAGAAGTAATTAAACCCTGTAAAGCCCTCATTTATTTTTTCTATAAAATATCCATGATTGATTGTTTTTTGTTTTATAATTTGCAAAAACAAACAGGCCTGTTTATTTTTCGTGTCCGTGTATAGCGCCGTGGATTTCCTAATCTCGTGAAGTCTGCTAGTGATGGATGTGAAAGTTTACCACCCTCTCTGTTAAGCCAGTGCAGATGCTTATAGATAAAATTTACAACAAATTTAAATTGCGAAATATGTACATAGTTAATTGTTTTAACACACATACATATAATCACGCCTCTTTCCCGTAGGGGTAGGCAGAGACCACTTCTTTCCACTTGCTACGATCCTTACATACTTCCCTTTATACATGCTCTACGGTTTAGGGTACTGTTGACCTGGCCTTTTTTCAAGACTTCCTTGATTTGGTCTTTAAACGTCCGCCTACCCACCGGTCTACCCCTTCCAACACTCATTCACACTCGCCTTATACACTTTTTTCGTCAATCGTTCTTCATTAATTCTTTCGACATGGCCAACATCTCAGCATACCTTTCTCAATTTTTGTCACTACATTTTTCAGACCACAAGTTTGTCTTGCCACTTATACAATAGTACTTAATCAGGTATCAACCAATATCGATGATGAAATTTAATTTACCTATCGCTAAAACCGTGTAATGGCGGTTATATAAATATACAATAATCTATGGTGGCGGTGCAAGAATATCCACCACATAGCATCTCGTGGGGGTCGTAAGAGGCGACAGAGAGAAACAAACCAGGAGAGATGAGCAGCAGCGTTTTTTATCAGTGCAGCACCGTAAATGTCATCGTGGCCTTTATAATATATTATAAACAGTTTGCTAATTTGATTTTTATGTGTATAATGAATTAATTACCTTCGCGGCGTGATCCAGCGAATCACCCTACCTGTGCAAAGATGGTAATGATTACTTACAGAAATTCCCTTGGGCATCCTTGGCGAGGGACCAGAATGCACGAGTTCCCAAAGGAATGCGAACTAGTTTCTCGCCAATCCTACTAATGACTGCTATAGCGATAACTCTTGAAGAACCTTGAGGCAGAGTTGTACTTCTTATTGCGCTAGTGTTTGCATGCCAGGACTGCGATGCATCGTCCCAGGCATTTAACACCTGCTTTTGTTGCGAAGCAATTTTTCAGGAGCGACCAAACCAAGGCTGGGACCTGCCGTCTATATGCAGTATGCACTACAGATGACGGGGTAAAAAGTTCCATCCCCTAAAGTATCACGTCAACAAGCATTACAAAATTCGTACAGTATAGTAGCAGTGTAAGAATGAAAGAATCTCCACTACACTATATCGTCCTGTGGGTATCGTGGGAGGCGATAAAAAAAACAGTAACTGCAGTTGCCAACCCGCTTTTCAAGCGAGGAAGGTATGCCAAATATTCCCCCTATGACCTGTGAGGCGATCTGGGAGGGAGGGCTATGTTTTGCAGTAGACTTAAAAGAGGATGAATTTTATGAATCGATTTAAGTATAGGTAGATACCTATATATTTGTAAAATGTATTAATCACATTTACATTCGGTTTTTGGATCTGCTATAAAAAAAATTCAAGCTTCATTTTGGACTGTCATCTTCTATACATATAATAAAAATGTAAATAGCATACGTCTGTACATTTTATATTTTTGTAATGAAAGTAATTGAGAGATACTAAAAATAAGTAATTAAATACATTTCTACCGTTTTTAAAATTTTCTGTCTGTTTGTTTGTTAACGTATCACATATAAAGTACTAATTTATATCATAAGAATCGTTAAGGAAATTATAAAGTGTATCTTCAGGTTACATTTAGTCTTTATTTCATTAAAATCAGTTCATTCCATCAAAAGTTATAATAAATATTCTGAAGTATGGGTACGAGGTATATGTACGAATTTGTTCAATGGTGGCGTTGATTGAGTCATCAAGTGCATTTTAAACTAATATCATATTATAAATCATAATTAAATGATGTTCTATAATGATATAATTATATCTTAAACGCAGTAAACTAAAATATTAAAGAAAAAGAACGTAATAAGTATATACAAAATATATTAACTTTATTATCTAAATCTAAAGTACAATAGTTAACCAATTTCATCGATAGATGATATTATAATGTAATACAAAAAGGCAGGTTGTGGTTTATTCCTGTAGATGAGTTTTCATATTTGCTGCTAATCTTTATATTAATCGTTGCCCTACTGCGTGTTGACAAACTCATTTATTCTTTACCGCCGAGCTATCTAATTGGTAAATAAAATTTTAAAGTAGCTATTAACAATTTCGTTGGTTTCGGCTAGGATCAAACATTGAGTTATACAAGACTAGAGGAGCAAACCACATTACCCTATATAGTATATTATCTATGCCACATTACCTCGCGTCACAAAAAGTGAAGCCACTATCTAACCGCGAGGACGTAGCTTAGAACCTTTTTAAGTAAACATATATCTGTCTCACTTACACAAGTCGCGAAAACAATACCGTCGGTAAGATTAGATAAAGATAGACACACAAACATGCAGTGACGGGTTGGTATTGCCTACTATATGAAGTTTTACCCAAAAATAAGCAATAAAAAGGAGTTTTTTTTTAAGCTGCAGTTATTTGTTTTTATTTTAAATATGTATCTTTTCTTATCCGATGAATAGAAGTATAACTAATGAAATGAAAGATATTCTCTTGGAAATATATTTTATTGTACTGATAAACCTAATAAAAAAATAAATCAAGTAAAAAACTCAATTTAGGGTTTCTTAACCTAGAAGATCTGAGTTTGAAATATGCATCAATTGTGAAAGTTTCGGCAAGTCTTTGTCTCCTAAATTTGGTCTCATGACATTAGCTACTAAAACTGTAGTTATTAACAAATTTTTAAGACAATACTAAATGGTGTTAATCTGTCGTACTAATCCGCTTAAATAAACACGGTCGCCATCGCTTTTTGGTAAAGTTTGTCTTGATCCCGGAAGTGCTTAGAACTAATGAGAGTATATTTCGAAGGCACACAGTGAGTCTCCTTTCTCAGCAATCGTATTATTTCCACCCACTTCTAACGGTGTGCTGCATCTTTAGGTTCCCTGCAAAATTATTAATATAAAATAGGTAATAAAATATAATTAATAGATCTATAGTTCTCTAGAATATTCTAAAATATGAATAATTTTTCAAAGCTAAAATTAATAAATAATTTAAATTTAAAAAAAAAATTAAGTTTCAACCTTTGTATAAAGGTTGAAACATAGTTTTTATTACAATTTCCAAAATATTTAAAATCAGGGCTAACAAGTTAACTTATTCCATAAATTATATAGTCATAGTAGTGTAATGTGGGAAAATTGCAAAGGCAGAAAAGTGGCAACATTGAACCTAAATTGCAATATTCGATATTTTTTTTTTGTGTTTTTTACGTTAATATGAAAACATAAACTAAAACTTACATGTGGAAAGTGATTCCGCTTGATTAATTATGTTTTTGTAACCTTGAATCGCATTCTTTCACTACGCATTTACCCATTTTTTTGTCGTGAATCGTTCGGCTCAACTCGGTCGGCGTCGCATTGAACCACAGAACACTATCATTGAACATTGAACCGACGTTAGCTGGGCATATGGCTGTGGCCATATGTGAAGTGGCACCAAATAAAATCAACACAAGCACAATACGTGACTACTCTACAAGCGCCTAGCGACAGGGACTTAAATACCGTTAAAATACAGTAACGTTATCTGTGCAAGTGTGAGATAAGGTTATGTTTAAGAGAAACGATATGTCATAACGATATTATGCAAGGCTTTGTTAGTATATAACGTTATAATTACGTTACAATAAATTTGTCAAATAAACGTTTCTAAAATATTGTTATCACAAAATCATAATGTTATTATTTATTGTTATATGCCATCTCTTTTACTCGTATGATCTATCGAACGCAGTGCTCTAAAGTTACAGGCTAAAAATACGTTTTGTGGTCGTCAGCGCAGCAATTGAATTACCAACTGTAGTAGTACATACAACTCGGAATATGGGTTTTTCAAAATAAATAGTTCATAAACTTTGTATTACATTCATTCATAACAATAAAAT